CCAAAGTCAAATTTGTTTTGTTTGAAATTTAGATGTTTATAACAATAGGATGATTAACCATGAAAACAAGCTGCCAATGGAAGCATGCTTTCTGATGGATATCAGCTCTGATCTAAAAACATCAAGAGAGACAGCTCAGCTCAATACAGTTACTGGGTACGTTAGAGAAATAACTGGGTGAATTGTGATGTCCTGTCAAATACAGGAGAGCCAGAACTGATGGTTCCTTCTGGCCTTGAATCAGTGAAAGAATCCATTAAATACAACTGTTTTTGCCAACTGGAGATGGCTCACTCAAATTGTGAGAAACAAGAGAAGGAAGATTCTGATTAGTAGGTCCCAGTTATTTTCAAAGATTTTTTTTGTTTATATTTTTCTCCTGATGCTTTTTGGTTTTTTTCAAGTGCTGCATATTATGGGTGCCATAGTTTGAGTGGTTCTGGAGATGCGCCGTCTGTGTAGCAAGCATAGAAACATCCAAGTGACGTTTTTCAAGACGTGCCATAAATTACAGTGCTCAGGCAAAAAGGAAACCAGAGCAATTGTTCTTCACTTCTAACTCTGCTCCTCTGACCCCTCTAGTGAAGACTGAAAAGGACAATCACACCAGTGAAAGTGGTCAGTTCTTTGTGCCACCTGTGTCTGAGTAAGTGATACTGTTTTACTGACCAAGTTTCAGACAGTGGATTTTTCAGAGATTTGTATTTTTTGATGAATATTGTTTAAACAGCAATCTGACTTTTTAGATTATCTCTCTTTCTGGATTGCACTGGGTTTTTTTTTTTGTTTCCTACTTCTGCTTATCTTTGGAAATGCAACTCTTTAGAGGTTCTCACACGGCTTGACTTGCTCTTACCGCTGTGCTTTCATCAAGAAGTGTTTGAAGCGTGTGATTGTTTCTGGTTTGCAAACCTGTTTTATTACTTTATTTTACATTGCTGTAGGTTCAGGTAAGCTTAGTTAGAATTTGATAAAATGGAATTTAAACACTCTTCCCGTGTGATAGACATAGCACTATCCAAATTATAAACAAATTTCCTCACCTCACAATGCCCCAATAACCTAACCTAGGTACTCTGGCATATTATTATTTTATGTTGTTCAACTTGAATATATTGTATGATAACTGACCAGAAAAAGATCTGGCAGTTCTCTCCTCTATTATTTAGTGACCTGCCTTAGCAGGAAAAAAAAAAGGAAAACTGTCTTCATGGTAATGATGCCCTATTTTTCCCATGCAGCTTTTAAAAATTAAACAGGGCTTTTTTTATCCTTTCATGACCTACTAGGAAGTAGGTCTTCAGGCAAATACAACTAGTTGTATTTTCTTTTTTTTTACGGTTTTGCAGCAGCTTCTATTACTTGATTCATGTAAATACACTTATTTTTTCCGTGTTAGTATATACAATTTTGTGTTGGCCTAATCACTTCTTAATCTCTTTTTCCCTTTAGAGCGCTATGTGTAAATCTGTATGTAGAACAACTTTTATGCATAGATAAGCCCTTATCATACTGTATTGGGCAGTAGATCCTCAACTTATCCTGTCAAGGGAATAAGTGATTGTTTATTCTGTTAAATGCTTTCAAAGTAGATGTATTGTTACATGCTGAGTACTTAATTGCAACTGGAGATATGTATATCATTTTAGGCAGACCTCTACGAGTGACTAGAAGCCTTCAGTAGATTCAAACATTAGCGATCAATGTTGACCCTGTCTCTAAAACTGGAGATTGAGAAGGCTTTTGCTTAGAACTGAGGAAAATTGCATATATAGCTGCATCCATGTTATGAGCACTTTACTGTCAGTGTACTCAAATTCCTGTTATTGGTAAGGATGCGTCTTTCAGTATGTACAGAAGGCCAGAAATGCAGTAACTGGCTCTTCAAAGAAGCTAGACTAGGTTTGGAAAAAATAGAACTTCTTTGGCATTGTTTATTGCATCTTGTTCTAAAATAAGCCTGGTACCATGGTTACAAGGCTAGTCACGTTGCTGTTTCCCCTGGGGATCTCATGTTGCGCATCCCCATATGTTCTTGGTATATGAATTCCTCTATTTGCTCGTTCCCACCAGGCCTTGGGTTGTAGTCCCATGCAGATCCACTGTGATTGCTGTAGCAGGTCCAGTGGGGACTGGACACTGCCAAAGCTTTTCGTCTAGATTGTCTTCTGGATAGTGATTTTGATGTGATTTCCTCAGAATAAATGTCATACATTCTTTTACCTATATGTGGAAAGTGAGCAGGGCCAAGGTATGAAACGAAAAAGAATGCGTGTTCTGCACCCAAGACTAACCTGCGTTTTACCAGAGCTCCAATAGTTCTTGGCTTATTTATTGTTTCGGTTGGAGGAAATAGCTTGCAACAGTTTTTCCTGTCTCTCTGGGAGTCTTCACATCCAGTTATTCTTTTTTCACTGATATGCTTTGGCTAGATTTATCTTGGATTTATCTCTTACCTTACTTACTTTTCTATGGAAAGTCCCTTTTTTTCCTCCCCTCCTCTCTCTTCTACCTTAACTGACTTATGTTTAAAAAAAAAATCCTCTACAAAATTACTGACAACATAACTCCTTGGCTTAGCTAAACAGTTCTGTTAAAGGAGCTGAGGAATCCCTCTGTGGAAGCGCAAACCTGACTATTGTCTTTGAGGGGATGCTCCTTATCTAGGCTATTGTTGTAGCTTTCCTGCCTGGTTTCTTTACAACCTCCTTTGTTTTTTAACTGTTTATTCGGGCAGACAGCAGCACAAAATTGAAGAGGTAAAGAGTTGTGCATAGAACTAACCAGCCTTTCGTTTCACATAAAGGTATCTTCCACGTTTATTTTAAAAAATGAAGGGTTGGGGGGATGAGGCAGAGGAAAGTCAACCCAGCTAGAAAGTGAATAAAAACAGCTTGGGAGACCTGGCATGGATTGGGGTGTGTGTGTGTGTGTACACACACATACATATTTTTCTTTCATACTGTTCTGATAGATTTTATTTTGATGTTTGTACTTAATGATATTTATCATCTAGAAAAAGTAGGATATGTATGAGGGAGACCAACGTGGACTTCAGGGATAGTTGTTCGTAGGAATTGCAACAGTATTATATTTTCCCTCTTCACTGCTGTACCATACAGGAGCTTTGGTTTCCATATAACTCAATTGAGTTTCTCTCTCTCTCTCTCTTTTTTTTTTTCCCTCCTTCCTGCAAGACAGTACCCTTGTTTATTTTTTAAGAAAGCGGAAGTTCCTATTCTCTGCCAAGAACAGTAAATACCAAACATTCTACCAGTTACTATATTAAGCTGAGTCATGATAACTGTAAACTTTGTGTCTTTTTATTCCATAAAAAAGAATAATTTGCTGCAGAATCACCTAAAGCCAGAGGTAAAGGTGGTCTGCAGATCAAAAATTGTTTGAAGGCTGCCTCTGATGAGAGAGGAAAATAGGGCTGCCTTTTAAAATATGAATGAAGGATGTCTCTATTGGCTGACCTCATCTGAGTAATACAAAAAAGGGTTAATTGTTCTTCCCTGTTTTTCTGAGGTTTTAAGGCTGTAGATTAGGAATTTTTCTCATCAGTTGAAGCCTTGAATAGCTAACAGAGCAGTCTGCTCCTCCAGAAGCTATAGCACAAATTCCGTATGGCAGCTACTGCGCACAATCTCAGTATTTGGTGCACAATTAGTGCTTTCATGCAGGGTAACATACTCCATTTCTATATTCCTCACCGTTAGCCTCTATGTGAACGCTTCTCAAATGCATTGTTTTGGATTATCCAGTGTACTCAGGCATGCACCTTAATTTATGGCACAAGAAGCTGCTTGTTCTCTAGTTATCTTAAGAAGTTCCCCCCAGAAATAAAATGTTTAATGTTAGAGTTGTATAAAATCCTAATATACTTTGAAGTACACAAAAAGGAAAATGATAGTTTTTGCATTAAGAGGTTGCGTCTAAGCTTTCTGTCAAGGCTACAAAATACATTCCTCAAAACAAATGTCCTTGGTGAATCCAGGTAACTTCTTAAAGAGGAAGTTTTAATTAATATTTGCTACGTGAGAAGTTCTTAGTGCTAGATGCAGGCTGAACAGATTTTCACACAAATGGGGCACAACATATTGTCATCCTGACCTGCAAGAATCCTGCAGTTCTGGCTTGGGGCCTCTCTTGGCAACTGTTAGTCATACTGAACACCTTTTGCTTCTTCATTTCATTTATTCCTCTCTCCTCTGATAGTTATAAAGAGCTATTGTTGCAGATACTGCAAGCACGTGGAATGTGATCACAATGGCTATAAAGATTTAATAAGTTTGAAAACAAATGATTTCTGATCTTCCATTTAGGAGTGCAAAAAGAGTGAAGAAAAGGGTTAAGAAAATGATTTTTCTCCCTGAAAATTCAAACAGATGTTTGCACTTTGCGAAGATGTGGGTGCAATGCATTATATATAAAGTTCTTTCAAATGCAAGAGAGGTGGATTATGTGGTTTATCTGAATTATCCCTTAGAGAAAATATGGAAGACCTCATTTTTCTCTCTTTCTATTTATTTTACTTTTCCTCATAAAATTAGGGTAAGAAATAAGCAGTTCTTAGAAAACCTTAATTGCTAATAGAAATATATAGTATCTGTAACTCAAATCTTTTGCATTCAGTACACTGTTTATACTGAGTCTTGGCAAACATATTGGTAATCTTATAGCCCTATAAAGTAACCTAAGAGAACTGTAACTCTCAGTCATGGCAAACTTTTCCTGAATGCCAAATCAGAGAGAACTAAATGCTAGGAAAGTGTTTTATTATTATTGTTATTTATTTTGTCCTATAAACAATTTTGTTGTGAAAACCTGTTCAAGGTGTTAAAACAAAACTTAAAGATAGCAGAATATACAACGTGAAATAAAAAATGGTTGCATCATTAATGTGCTTATGAGTATGATTATACTAAATACTTTTTACACTTGATTTTGTATTCATTTGGAGATGCAGTAAAAACTATTGTGTCTTACTGATTCAGGTTGGTGGAACAAAAGCTGGGGTTGTTCGTTTCCTTGGAGAAACTGACTTTGCTAAAGGAGAGTGGTGTGGAGTGGAGCTGGATGAACCTCTAGGAAAGAATGATGGAGCTGTTGCTGGAACAAGGTTAGTCAATCATCAGATAACAGCCGCCTTGAAAATCGTGGATATTTGTGTTTTGTTTTTTTAACTGTGAAAGCTTTCACATCAGAAAGAGTAGTTACACTGTAAACCTGACTGTCTACCTTGGTGGTGGTGGGGGGGAGGATAGGGAGGGAAATCCTTAAACAGTGATTTGAATTTTATGACACCTACATGTCTTTGAAAGTGTGCTTCAACCCCGCGTTCCTGGTATTAGATCTCTCCTCCTCCCACGTGTATTTTATTCATAGGCTGGCAATGGCAAATACAATTTCCTGCTTTTTAAACTTCTGCTGGTTTCTCAGCTTGGAATGAATTATTCTCAGTTAAGAAAATTTCCCTATGTATCTAACAGCAAAACTCAGGGGAAAGTTTTCTGTGTTGCAGGAACTGATGGCAGTTATACCAACATTTCCTAGTCTTTAGGATGGAGCAATAGTATAGATGCTTACTCCAGTAAGTCACGTTTAGAAAGCATAAATCACATCACAATTTAATGTTTCTGTGTTTCGTACTTGTTTGATATCAAGTACAGTTCTTTAACTCGTTAAAAAAATTTATACAAGAATTGTGCCTTAACATAAGTATTCACAATTTGAAATTTCAAGCAGCTTTTGTTTATATATAACCAAATATATGTGTATTTTTATGTGTGTGTGAATATGTGTATATATAACATGTATAATCAGATATATAAATATTTGATTTAAATAAAATCTGATTTTATTTTTAAATCTCTGCTATCACATTTATTGTGGCCAGCTCATCAGAATGTGTTGAAGAGGAAGGATATGCATGTTACAATTTGAATCTGAATGGAATTTTTAGGAAATAGAATTGAGATATCTTGAGCTCAAGAGTTTTCTCCGTGTTGAATTTCTAAAGTCTGCTGTGTTATCGCTGTTGTAGCCTCTCAGAATAAAGCCCACTGCCCCCCAAAAATCTATTATTAAAAAAAATTGTTAGGCAGCCTAATACAGGTTATGTTGTCACCAGCTGTTACCTTGTCCTTTAATACTTTTAGACTACTGATCTAGAATTCTTTGTGAAGTTTTGTGAGATCATATGTATGAAAAGGCAGAAGTTAATTTAGTGCTCGTATTTATGTCTCTTTTTTTAAGATATTTTCAGTGTCAGCCAAAATATGGTTTGTTTGCTCCAGTCCACAAAGTTACGAAGATTGGATTCCCCTCAACCACACCAGCTAAAGCAAAGACAACTGTGCGAAAAGTGATTGCAACTCCCTCAGCCCTGAAACGTAGTCCAAGCGCATCTTCCCTGAGCTCTCTCAGTTCTGTGGCATCTTCAGTAAGCAGCAAGCCAAGCCGTACAGGACTAGTAAGCTTCTTTTTCTATTGCATGCTTTACATGCCTAAGCAGGAATCCACATGGCACTTGCCTGTGGTTTACTTGCGTAAATTGAGAACGGAGCAGATCTTGGCTACAATACATGTCTAATTGTGCTTTTTTCCCCCCCATTCAAAGCATGCATAAAGGAAGGAAATCTTAGCTAGCCCTGAAGCGTAGCTCCATACTTGACTATTTAAGCTTACGCAGTTAATTCAGACTAACTTGAGTTATTGTAATAAGAAAGGGGCTTGCGATGCCAACAAAATGAAAAGGCATCAGTGTTGTCTGACTGGAATCTGCATTGTTGTTCTGCATTTTTTTTCCTAGCACTACCTCTGTATTATGGGGTTTATGTTGGAGGTATTGATATCCACTAAAGCTTCCCGAAACAAAAAATGAGTTTTATTGAGCAAGAAGTTTCAAATTGTCTAAAATGTAAAACTCCTCCTTTTATCACTAAAAAGATGAGAATTGCTACTTCTGTATTTCTCAGCAGACTCAAGTCTTTGCTGACAAGAAGCCTCTTTCTTTTCCTTTAGATTTGATTTTAATCCTATGAATTCATAAAGATGTTGCAAAGTACAGTTCTCAGATGAATTTTAACATTGTACTAATTCTGTCTAATACACTTACTCTGGATTCTTTTGAAGTTACTCTGCTACAGAGATGTCCTAGTCTTGGGTCACATGCAGTGAAATGGAAGTCTTTTGGGAAAGCCAAAATGAGGGGAAAGAAACTCCTTCATGGCAGTTAAAAGCATAGAAATAATTGTTTTTCCATATTCACGCTAGATTTTTTTTTTCTTTTTTGAAACCAGAGTACGTGAATATGTGTAGTTGGAAAGACACCACTTTAGCTCCCACTGAACTGAAACCAGTAAGCTAGCATACTGTTCCATTGACCAGCAGGTGCAGGACTGAGAGGTGACTTAATACAGTCTTTCAAAACTGAAGCAGATTACAAGAGAACAGAGGTCAAGAGCTGGTCAGGAAAACAGGGTTAATACCCTATTGCAACAAGCATATGGGATCTTTATTTGGCACAAAAGGAGGGACTTTGTTACTTAATCTGTTCTGGGAATTGCACTACTAGCTGCACAGTGCCCCCTAGTTTGAAACTGGTGCACTGCTTTAGTACTACCTCAGAGTAATGCCTGCTTGCAGCAGAGTTTTTGGGCTGGCAGACTCTCACTGAAGCATTAATATGCTATGATACTCTCAGCAATAAGAGTTTTACATTGTAAATGCCTGCAATATAATTGCTTATTTTACCTTTGTGTTGTGCCCAATGATGTTTGGATGTTTTGAGATGTAAAATATAATGCTTCTGTAATCCGTTATTTCTGGAGTTAAAATTCCCTCCAGCTCCGTTCTTAGGCAGCATGAGTCTTTAGTTCCTATCCAAGTGAAAGGACTGTGAGAATAATTTTGGTGCTTTCTTTCTTCAACAGTTAACCTGCTGAAGAAACAGAATTTCCTCAAATCAAATTTTGACACAGCAGTTTTTTTTTTTATTGCTCTGGTCGCTAGGAAAATTGTATTTTATCTGGAACTAGCTGGGCTTTGACGTAGTCTTCTCAGTTATTCAGGGCTGTTGCTGTGTTCTTTCACTGTATAAGAAATAGCAACTATCAAAGTAGGTGATCTAATAACGTAAGAGGGCTGTGTGTTGCAATTTGTATTTGTTTCCAAATCTGAGGGGAGCTGGCATTTCTCTTGAACTCTTTTAGATTTCTTTTGAAATCAGAAATAAAGTTGAGTTGGGTTAGAGAAGCTAGACTTGTGAAAAACTTTACCTCAAGCACAATTATTGCTTTTTAACATGTTCTGGAATGAGACATCTTCCAGAAACTGAGAAAGTAAGAAACAACTAATCTAAACATTGGTGAAAGTTTCATTTTATTAGAAGATGAACTTACTCTGTCTCATACCTTTTGAGTTAGTTGACACAGTATTTGCAATGAATTGTAGACTTATCATTCCAGGCTGTGAGTAGACAGGTTAGAAATATTAATTCTGTAGGAAACATAGTAACAGAGTAGGCCTGTTTTTGTGATGAGAGGAAAATGATGTCCATGTTATGCTCTCTGTGGTCAATGTTATTGGGTGCTGGCATTCCCTGCTGCATATGGCAGCTATTCTTCAGTGTTTCAATCTCTGAAAAGATCGTGGAGGAAGCATGTTCTTATTCTTGGGCAAGACTATTGGACAGAGCTAAAGGTTAATGTAACAAAAAAGCAAGTCTTTGCATAGGGCTTTTTGTTTTAAGTAAGGTTTTTAAATGAGGTGTTGTTCACTTCAAATTTCTGAGCTGCTAAGTGTAAGGTCAGTTTTTATAAACTGTATCAATTTTTTTTTAGTTCAGTTCTTGTTCACTTTTATGATGTAATTTCAGTTTATTCACTTTCCCTTCTAGCTCAAAAAGTCTTGAGGAAGTAGAAGACAGGGCCATGCTGAATTTTCACTGACACTGGTTCCATTCAGTGGAGCAGAGATCATGCAAGGTCAAGAAAAACCTTAAGGTTCATTTTAGCTATAGTTCTCTGGATTCATTCATTTATATCTATACTCCTTAAGTTTAATCCTTCAGAAGTTTTTTTCTGGAATTAATCTAATTCTAAGTGTTACAGTTGTTTTAATTGGATGACAGTTGTTCTCCTTCAAAATGTTTTAGGATTATATTAGCTGTGAGGCTGACTTTTTAAGGCAAGGTAAGCACCTTTGATCTTAAAGATTGTCTTTGCATAGTAGATGAACAAAATGCTAGTTGGACTTCCAAAAGCTTTTCCCGGAGCATTTGGGAATGTTATACTGTTGCTGGTGACCTAAGATTATGACTTGGTAAATAGAGGGAGAATGTTTTTAACTTGCTGTAAGGTTGTCTTTATATCTTGCACGAAAAGGTGCTTAGAAACCTAACAAGTTAGCCTTCTTGCAAGTCTACAGCACCCACCTTAAACTGAGGCTAGACTTCTGTTTTCACTTGAACACTTCTGTCTCCTACGTACCACCCGCTGATTACCACAAAACAATCTTACCGTCCAGGTATGTCCATTGTTAACTTCTAGAAAATGACATAATTTAAATGTAAAAGCAATAAAAATATTTTCCTTGTATAACAAATGTAAAGGAGAAGGTACAGTGTAGGTTACAGAAAGCATTTGCTTTACTAACCTTCTGTTTGTAGAATCTGGAGGCATCGCTGGCAGCTGATACAGAATGATTTTTAACATATTTACTTTCTAAAGTTGACAGAAACATCTTCCCGGTATGCCAGAAAAATCTCTGGTACCACAGCCCTACAGGAAGCGTTGAAGGAGAAGCAGCAGCATATTGAACAGCTCCTGGCAGAAAGGGACTTGGAGAGGGCAGAAGTTGCTAAAGCAACCAGTCACGTAGGGGAAATAGAGCAGGAATTAGCACTTGTTCGAGATGGACATGATCGGGTAAGAGCAGTGTTGCTGTTCTTAAAATAGAAGCTGTAAGAAAATTGACTTAATTCCCAAAATTGTGTTGCCTTATTGAAAAGGTTCAGGAGTAAGAAGTGATGTTCTATAACTAAAATAGTCCATCCCTATGAGCTATTCCTCGTGGAGGCTTTGGCTTGATAAGATAGCAAGTCTATTTCATTTAACTAATTTTAGTTGAACTTCTCTACACCCCAGTGAGTAATGCTTTTCTACAAATACGCATATCTGAATATGGTAAAGTTCCTGTCCATTGAACTGTCACTTTACTAAATTATGATTACTGAGCTATAGCTATATAACTTGAATTAAGTTCAAGTATTGCCTAACTTACCTACCTACTATATTTTGTTCCTGTTACTGTCAATTAGCATGTACTGGAGATGGAAGCAAAAATGGATCAGCTTCGAGCTATGGTGGAGGCTGCTGATAGGGAGAAAGTGGAGCTCCTCAATCAGCTTGAGGAAGAGAAAAGGTGACTCAGAAGTGTCTTCATTTGTATCTCTCTCTTAAGAACAAAATTTGTATTAAAATGGCTTGCAAATATGAAACACACTTCAAGTAATGTAGGTATGGGTAGTTATTGTACAATACTGTATTGCAGTTTCTTAAAAATAATAGTGAGAAAGAAATTCTTTACATTGGGTGGGTGTTACAGCTGGTATAATGCAGCCAATGAAAGTTATACTATGATGACTTGCAACTAGAAGTGGAATTTAGTATTTTGAGATCTCTTGTGATTGAATGTCCCCTTTTAGACTTGACAGATGGCACTGCTCAAGAAACAATCCAGGTGAAAGCTGGTTAGAGACTGTGACTATTGTTTATAGCTGAATTTCATGCAATACGTTCCTTTTAGCATGTTGCCAAGGGTTTTCTTCCTACTCATATGAAGTTAGTGGATTATGCTTGATGTTCTTGAAACACTCATCTCCCGCTTCAAACTGCAAGTTTTGATAATTCCATTTCCTAAGAGTGCTGGAATAGGAATTTACACTTTACATCTCTTGTGAATAATTTATTACCATCAGTCACGTGCTTCTAGGTAGGTTCCATCTCTTACAGAAAAAAATCATCACATCCTTTAATACCTTTTCTAGTTGCCGTCCTTAACCATTTGAGGAAAGGAACTGAGATTAACAAATAGATATGCATGGTTAGGTGAGGAAATAATCTGATAAATAGATTGTCTTAATGAATTTGGAATGCTTTTGTAAAGCAGGAGTCTATTTGGGAACTCATTGTCAGTCTGCACTGTAGGCTTGTGTGCTCCCCTGAAATCAGGCAAGCGTCAGCCTCCCTGAAAGGCCTCCTTAAAACTTGAAATCCCAAGTGAAGAGATGTAATGGTAAGCCTTGGGCAATTCTTTTGCAATTTGCATGCTGTCATTTTATGGGACCCGCTCCAACTGAATTTTCCAAACAGTAGATGTTAGATCTAGAATTGGTTGTATATATTCTACAAAATAACGGAGTGCCTAAAAATAAATAAAAAGAAAAAAACTGCAGCACCTCTGTTTGCCTGGCCACGAACCTATTTTCACTGAATGCCAGGCCAGTGGGGGTCTGCTTTACTGCAGTGCTCTGTGGCCTTGAGTTCACCTTCAGCGTGTTGCTAGGCAGCATAAGTGTTGCTGTGTATGCCTGCTACCCATTACCCGAAGTGACATTTTACAGCTAGGGAAATATTTCATGGCTTCAGCAGTGTAGTATTTCTCCTTCCTCCTAAGCACTCTAGGATTATTTATTTTGAAAGTTCGCTGTCATATGTATTCAGTACAGTCTCAGCAGTAACTTGAAGTCAAATAATCTTTAATCTTCTGTTTCCCAAAGCATGGGGGTGAGGCCCACTTTCAGTAGTAAGATGAGACAGATTTAAGTTCTTATTGTCCTTTATCTTTTAGACATCCATCACTTGTAACTCCCTTTGATACAATGACCTTGTTGCAGTCATCTCTACTTCTGTCAGCCCGAGTCCAGACATGAGTAGTGTGTGTAACTCAAAGGAAAGAGGGCATGCCAGTCCCTTCCTTGCCACATCTCACTGTGTTGAGAGGAACAAGGGGAAAAGGAGACAGTCTGGCTCTAAGAACCTTCTTCACTGGGGCATACCAGAGGCAGGGGAGGGAAGGGGGGAAAAAAAACCCAATTATTTTAAATCAGTTATTAGCTTCTCACTTCTAGCTGCTCATTTTAAAACATTGTCCCCATTTTTGCCTTGCCCCCATTGTCGGGGCAAGGCAAGCTGTATCTGTGTTCTTGCATACATCCCCGTTCCGCATCCTGGCGTTCATCTTGACAGCTAACGTGTTTGTCTCTGCTAGAGCTTTGGTGGAAGTTAACCAGCACAGTTCCTAGAGCGCTCTTAGATTTTCTTCTGTATTTCCTAACTTTCTGTCTGTTTCTTGACTGAATGGTAGAATATGCAGAATATTAGATCGAGCTGTTCATTTAGGTCACCGCTTTTGAGGACACAAAACAGTGAAGGAAGGAGAAAAATGATGATGGCTTTAAAGTTTTCTTTTTAACTCCTCAGAAAATGCAACAGAATACTTTCTTTATAGAGCTACCAGTGTCTGTCTTAATCAGTAATTGTGATTTTCAAGACATGTTTTGTGTGAGAGATTTCTCCTTTCCTAATGCTCCTGGCAGTTTGCTGATCTAATCAGAATGATGTCACTGTAGTCCTAATTTCCACTGAAAAGGGAACTTGAAAGCATTTGCTTTCTAAGGTGTCTGAATTTGAATTAATTTTCCCCACAGGAAAGTTGAAGACCTTCAGTTCCGTGTAGAAGAAGAATCCATTACCAAAGGAGACCTAGAGGTAAAATATCGCCAGCTTGGTAAACAACACGTTTAATAGGATATTTAAATGCAATCAATTCAGATTAACTGTACTCTTCTCCCGAAAAGAAAGGCAGGAATAATTAATAGATGCAATAGGAAAGATTAATAGATGCAATACTGGTTCAGGAGTATGCAAAGCACATGATAGTAATTCCTAGTTCTGCAGTCCTTGAGTAAGCTGAACAGGATTGCACCCTTAATTCAGTTACACTCTTTAGCAAGGGTTCTACTGTGTAATGGCTTTGGTTGTTTAGAGTAATTAACTTAACTCATAGTGAAATTCTACTTTTTGCTATTTTATATTGTTTTGTATTATATCTTACTAATATTTCTGAAATTGCTTAAAAGTAATCAAATACAAAAATCATTTTGAAGTTATAAGACTGACAATTAATATTTGTGTCTTTGAAGTGAATATTGAATACTAGTTCCATTTGTCTTGAATCAGTTTTTTTTTTTTAATAATCCCTGTGCTTTCCTTAGGGAAAACTGATTAACAAAGCGTTCTGTCATGAGTTAAATTTTACACAAAATCTAAACAGCAATTACTGTCTGCAATTTATTTATAGCTAGACAAACAGTAGGAAGATAACGTGGGACTAAAATGCAATATGCTATTACACAGATTAGAAAATAGAATCGATGAATAATTATTTTTGACTATATGAACGCTGCCAGTTTTCATACCAATAAAAAGCAAGGTACTTTTTAGCTAGTCTTCTCTATTCTTGTTTAATTTGAAAAATACTAGAGCTTCTTGCACAGCACAAAGAGTACAAATTTAACTGACCTGTGACCCTGTGGAGCCTTAATGATTGAAAGTGCTAGCCTTATGAAAATAATTCATTTCATATAACATTTATATTGTTTTGTATTATATCTTACTAATATTTCTGAAATTGCTTAAAAGTAATCAAATACAAAAAATCATTTTGAAGTTATAAGACTGACAATTAATATTTGTGTCTTTGAAGTGAATATTGAATACTAGTTCCATTTGTCTTGAATCAGTTTTTTTTTTTTAATAATCCCTGTGCTTTCCTTAGGGAAAACTGATTAACAAAGCGTTCTGTCATGAGTTAAATTTTACACAAAATCTAAACAGCAGTTACTGTCTGCAATTTATTTATAGCTAGACAAACAGTAGGAAGATAACGTGGGACTAAAATGCAATATGCTATTACACAGATTAGAAAATAGAATCGATGAATAATTATTTTTGACTATATGAACGCTGCCAGTTTTCATACCAATAAAAAGCAAGGTACTTTTTAGCTAGTCTTCTCTATTCTTGTTTAATTTGAAAAATACTAGAGCTTCTTGCACAGCACAAAGAGTACAAATTTAACTGACCTGTGACCCTGTGGAGCCTTAATGATTGAAAGTGCTAGCCTTATGAAAATAATTCATTTCATATAACATTTCTTTTATTTTAGTCTTTCATTCATTTAAAAATACCTATCTAGACTCTTCATAGAATGTTCTCTCTATTGTTTAGTCCGTGCAAGTCTTAGTTTTTTATTTTTTGTTAAACTAGTCAATAATCATGGCAAACCATCTTAAAGACTCTGGTTTGTCAAGCTACATAACTTAGAGTTTAAACTGAATTCCAGATAATGAAATGTGTCCTGTTGTTTGTGTTGGAATGATAGTACTAAGCGTGCAGGTGAAATATTTTTGTTTTTGTTTTTTAATTTTACTGATAGCGAAAGAGGCAGATTTCGGAAGATCCAGAAAATGTAAGAGGGCACTTAAATGTGCAGAGACATCTTATGTTAACAGATTGTGTGCAGAAAATGCTTATACTTATTCACTAACTGCATAATCTGTTATTGAAACATTGACTCTAGTATTTGTGTGCATGTTGCTTTCAGAGCAATTACAACATTTATCAAAAAGAATGTGTGTAATGACTAAACATTATAATCCCCATTAACTGAAGAGAGGGCAAATGTGTCATCGTAAGAATTCTTTAGTGTCAAAAGCTTTGCAACTAATTGAAGAGTATAGGAGCTTGTAGAAAATGACTGTCTTGAAGTCTTTCTTATATGTAGGATTTTAGTTTGCTTTTCCCACAAAATCCTGCATGCTTTCCTATGAGCTCCTACTGCTGTTCAATAGATGCAGTTTGCAGTGACTGATTTATTTTTCTCTTGGGTTTAAAAAAAAAAAAAAGGCAATGTTCCCCACATCCCCTTATTCCTGTTTTTTGCCATGAAACGCTAAATGGAGAGATGATTTTAAAAAAATCTTAAGAGTTAGTGAGCCAAACTATCTTGTTTTTTATTATATCTTAATGTAGCTTCTCCTTGAATTATGTAAGAAAAAGGTATGTTACTGGTTAACAGAAATTGCTTTACGAGAAATTAAAACAGCCCTGTCACTTCTGTAGCTCAGAATAAATGGAATTCAAAAGCCCTCTCTTTTTGGTTGGATTCAGGAAAATTTGTCACAGGCTGCCTCCTCTGCTGCATCTCCAGCCAAGATAGAAAGTTCTCAAGACTAAAACTGGTTTCCTGCTGTGCATTCTTAGGTGTTCCTTTTGCGAAGCTACTTCAGCGATCTGGGTCTCCTCTATTCTTCCAAATCAGGCTCACGGTGTGTTAGAAGTAAATCTGCATGTGCCCTTCCTTTCTCTTGTTTTGTGCACTCCTTGTTTAATCCTATCTCTACTCCTGATTTCCCTATTCTAATTTTTCCATAAATGGACATCTTCACTCTCTAAAGGAGAGAAATGGGTGATCACTTAGTTTCAGAACGAATGTTTCATAATCTGAGTCATGTTCTGTGATTATCTGAGCATGAAGGGACTGAATGTCATCTTGCCCCTATCCTAGAACTGATTATCAGCATTTATGGCTTCAGCACAATTTCACAGATTGACGGAGAACCGACCTGTACGTTTGTTCTGAAGTGAAAGAGTAACTAGAATACGTAAATGCTGGAAACGGTTGATGACTGCTCTCTGATGTCTGAATTTAGTGGAATCCTTTAGGGTTCAAGCCAATGTGAGGCTTGTCCCATTTCCCTATCGCTCTTCATCTAACTGTGATATTTTGGAGAAAGGGAAGATACTTCCTTATTGTTTTTTGTTTTTCTTTTCCACTGAAGTTGAAGTTTACAATCAAATTCTTTACTACTTTTTACAGTACTCTGCTCTCGTTGATTTATTGTGCTCTGGGTTTCCTCAAGGAGGAGCTTATTCTTTAGACGATCAGGAAAGAAAGCTGAGTAATTCAAAATTTTGCAGTGAATTTGCCTTGTGGGAATGGGACTTGTTTAAAGGATAATTCCCCCATCTCTTACATGGTGAAAAGAGTGGCCAGCAAAGATCGTTATCTCTGGAGTTTTTCTTTTAGCTTCTGTGTCTATTTTTGGTAGAATTCATTTTTATTTGCAATACGTAGGAGATGGGGTTTAAAAATGTCAGTAATCGGTGCTGATATTTCTAATTTTTGCAGTATTAAAGCAACGTCTATAAAAATTAATGGTTAATAGCATTTTGTTGTTTATGTAGTATAAAAAGTCTTAAGATAGCATATTTCGCAAAGTGATGTAAAGAGAATTCTGTGAGTATCAGGTTTTGGGTTTGTTGGTTTTTAATAGATCCTTTTAAGGAAATGAAGTGAGGAAGGTATGACTATTCAAAATCTTTAATTTTAAACACTTTTAGGATTTAGAATTTTTTTTGTGGATCAGAAGTAATACTAACCAGTCTGAGAGGGGACTGAATTATACCCACTTTTTTAAAAGCACCAAAGTTTGAAAATTTTGTTTCCCTCAGAGTATTTAATTCAGTTGTCAAAGGCTGCTTGAGGTAAAATATAATAGCCTAAATTCTAATAGTTTCCTCTCCTGCATCCAATATACTCTGAAGATCTTCCATGACGACTCTGGAACAGCACCAGATGTCCGCATGCTTTTGGGAAAGAAGATAACTTGATGCTGTCAGAATGGAATATCGTGATTGGAGGAAAACAGGAGATTCATCCCCCTCTCACTTGCACTGCAGAGACCGTGCAGGATTATTATTATTATTTTTTAACTGCTGTGGCTGGTTTGGAGGCAGTCCTAATCAGCTCGTCACTCTTTATAAATAACAGTTCTACAGGGACTTCAAACTATCCTATTACAAAGACCAGAGAAGCAGCAGCGTCCTGCCAGCTGTGCACATGCTGCTTCACTGTGGGCTTGGCAGCAATGTGGCTTTGGTATCATTCATGCAACTTTCATCCTTTTGGATTCTTTCGATCCAGTGTTCAATGGCTTTTCAGTAGCTTTTCACGTTGCAGGACTCTCTCTTATTAAGAATAGTTCACAGGGTTCTGAGCTTTTCTAACTTTTTACTCTGTTCTATTGCAAAGAAACTGCTACAGCTAAACTGTTGAAGAACTTTTATCAAGAGAGATGCATGCAACTTCATGGGCTAATAAATGCATTTCAGCCTAACCAGGCAGGACTTTGTTCTCTTTCTGGAGATCTCTTACTCTTGATGTGGGTAAGCCCTGAAAAGCTGCCCTTTCTGGAAAAGATAATGTGAAACGACAGTAGACTTCTATAATCTTTTTAATTTGGATTGTTACTTTTAAATTACGTTGACCTCTCAAGATTGACACAATATTCAGATCTTTGCATTTCAGAAGTAAGTGTGACACCTAGTTCTTAACTCTGCATATTCCTTTTTCCTTTTTTCTTTTCTCTTCTCGTCTTGTCTTTTTTCTTTTTTTTTTTTTTCTTTTTTCTTTTCCTCATCTCAGAGGTGCTAGTGAGGTTTGGACTAACTGCTGAACTTTTCCTGCATCTCTCCAACTTCAAGCTGTCTTGCCAGGCCTCTGGGAGTATCTGGGAGCCTGGGTATCAAGCTTACTGATATTCTGCGTTCTTGCTAAAAATTCGACCCCTTTTTTAAGCAAAAGATAGGAAGTATCTGGTTGCTTAGTTTCATGTGCTTCCTACTTCTCCTTAGGAAAACAGTGCCTCTTAGAATTACAAAGATCTTAAAATTTGTTACTTCCACACCTGGTTGAACGTAATTAGACATCGGTAATTATAGAGCAACCAGACTGATTCACTTGTTTGCCTGCCTTTGGAGAATCTTGCTTGTTGCTTGTTTTCATTCTGGAGGAGAAGGGGGAACAGTTAGGGTTCTGCAGTTATAGGCAACCAGGTTCTTTATTTTTATTCAAATAATTCATATCCTAGTGACAAATGAAGCTTGATGTTCCAAGGACATGGCTGAAAGGATTTTTATGGTTGAGACTTGAGATGCAGCTACTACTGTAAAAGATTGGTTGTGAGTCATCACATGAGTTTCAGCGTTGAATTTTCATCCCTGGTTCATAGTTAAGTCATTAAAAATTATAAGCCCATTCTGTTGAGGGGAAAAAAAACATTAGTGGGATGACGAGAAAAGGGACAAATCATCCTGTTAGGACAGATGTGTATATTTTTTTTCCATAACTATTCTAATTTGTGCTGAAAACTTCATGTACTGATAAATAACTTCTACTTGGCTGCATGAAACTTTTTTGTTCATATTTCTTCTTGTTTGTGGGTTTTTATTTTTTTCCATGTCAGTCATTTTACACTTTCAGTCCATCTTTCTCATCCATCCATAGCATTTCCCTGTTCATTTTATCCATTGCATCTTCTCTGCTCATCATTGGTAGAAGATTCTGGCAGCACGGCCTGCATGTGGCTACCTCCTCTTGTGCTGGCATGTGATGGTGGCACCGTTGTGTTCTCTTCCTTTCCCTTTTTACTAACAGACGCAGACCAAACTGGAGCATGCCCGCATTAAGGAGCTTGAACAGAGCCTGCTCTTTGAAAAGACCAAAGCTGACAAACTCCAGAGGGAGTTAGAAGACACTAGGGTAATGGTTTTCACTATTTAAACAAGACTCATTTGTGTGTTGGAGGATTTCTGATGACACTGTCTGCTGGGTGTAAAACATGCCAGAAGAGCTACTTGCTTCTTCAGTGATCAGTGCATGCTATAGATGTAGCTGGAACACTTCTAAAGTTAGCATTAATTTTGAGCTTCAGTAGAATGTGTGTGTGTGTATATATGTATGTGCATTTCTTCAGAAGAATTCAGGTAAGATGATTTCAAAAGGCAAAAATAACACTTCAATACAGGTGAAAAGTAGCAAATGGGACTGTGAATTGATCTAAAGGAGTGCACAGTGATTCATTTTTAGAAGTATCAAAGTTCATTATGTCTGAAGGAAGAAAGATTCCCATCTTTATGCAGCAAGATCTATATTTTTAACACAAATTTAGTGTTTCAGGACTGTATTTGGTTTCTGAGGCCTTAAGAAGGGGCTGTATCACTTGCTTTGCTGAACCATGGTTTCCAGTGGCTTTCTCGTTCTTTTTTAGCTGCCCATCACATGATCTGTTCATGGACATCCCAGTAACGTTAGTAATACAGTTACCCTGGCAAAAAATTATTAGAGATGTATTTTACAAACACAGAGGTTCAGCAGATGTTCATTTCTATGCATTTTGGTGCCTTTCTAGAGACTGCTAAAGATTGTTCTTGCTAGAAAGGTGCTAGCCCTGTTCAACTTTGTTTGAAACAAAGCCCGTGGGAGTGATTTGGTTGACTTCAGTGTTTCAACACTTAAAAGTCTTTTAGCAAAGACCGTTGCGCTGTAATGGTGCGTTATGTATCTATGTTTCTTTGGAAGTTAAGATCGGAGAAGAGTGAATAAAACAAACATGTAAGGTTATAGGTAATATCTAGGGTGCTATTGCTTAATCCTGTTAATTTGCTCTGTGCGGCTTCTGTCTTGACCCTATTAGTTAGCTGACTGCTGATTAGCTGATGTAACATGTCAGTAGCTTTCTCTTGTAAGGATTCTCTAGAGAGTTAATTTTGGTTTGGGGTGGCTTATTAGACGGACCTTTGCTGTTACTCATGAAATCAAAGTACTGCTGTACTTAGCTCTTGGAAACTAGACAGAAAGGGGAGAAAAAGGATATCCTGGCTCATGCTTGTCCTTTATATTGAAGGTGATGAAGCAAAATAGTAAAAGAATTGTAAAAGGTGCTTTATTTTAACATCTTCTGCAACTCTATTGCATTTGAAATACAATATTGAAATGCTTTTATCATATGGTAAGGAAATTTAATTTACTCACAGTCCAGCAGCTGGGGGCTTGTTATCAGGGATCCTAATGCTGATATGGAATCTCTGACTTTGGGAGAAGAGGATGATTGCTTCATTGTGCAAATAAGATAACTTTGTTCTGCATAAGCAAATTGCTCACAGACAAATGTGGGTCGTGTTGACATCCAGCCAAATTATTTGGAGTTCTTAAAGAGAAGATGGAAGGAAGGAACTTTCAGCTCTAGGAAGAATTTGCTAATAATCATATGTGTTGAATGTACTATTTCCTTGGTGTTACTGGACATCTCAACAGGAACAACAAAATGATCCCAATAATTTTTTGGTTATGTTGTACCAGAAATTGATAGCTCCATTTCCTTCTGTCAGGTCCAGTTATGTAAAAGGAATTTAGGTTATAGCTAATGGAACACCATTGCTTATAAGTGCCCTTTATTCTAAATTCTTTATGTGTAAGCACACACCCTTTAAGATGCCTTTGTTGATTGTTTCCGGTATGTGGAATCCAATAGCCAGAGATGGGAAGCATCCAGGAATAGGTAGTGTAATAGATAATTAATTCTGCGCCCTTCAGGCTTGGCTGTCAGGATGTTTACTGAAAATCTGTAAGTCTACTTCTAGAGACAATGAATCAGACAAAGCAATGCAATGGAAATAAGCCACTAATACCTGTTCTGTGCAGTACATTTTGTAATCTAAATCCCTTAAGATCCCTTGATATAGTGAAGCCATGAATTTTATTCCACTTCTTTCTCATTTTGACAACTTCTTTGCATTACAAGGTGCAGACTTCCTGTAGTTAATGCATTGTTTCTTTATGTTAGAAGAAGAGAGTTAATATTATCTTTTTCCAAACAAAGCAGAAAATCATCATGAGTTTTTAAGACTTTTAAAGCACAGGATTCAACTGAAAGAAATGTTATACTTCTTTGCTTGTGAATCGGCTCTTTTTCTGAAGGATCATAAAATTTTTTACCATTTCCCTTTTTTCAAAGTAAGCATTCCTTTGAGAGAGGGTAAGAGTTTTATTCGCTTACCTAATTTCTATTGTGGTAGAGTCAGCTAACAGTTGGTAGTTATACAGCCGCTACAATGACAATTGATAATATCATATTCAAAATTGTGACTTACATATTTATACAAAATGTTGCTTGTTTTAGTAGGTCATTGCACAACAGCAATGAGGTTATCCACTTCTCACTCTAGATAATATTTCCTATGTTTCCTTGTCTATTCCAGCTACTTAATTAGGGGCTGAAGAATGTTAGCTCTTTTTAGCTAGGGAAGAACTTCGAGTGTGTATCATAGTATATACAGTTGATGGCCTTCTTGAAAACAAATACATATTCACAGAAACACGCAAGCGGCTGTTTTTGAGGATTGGGTAGGGACGAATATTGTAAAACCAAGCAAATATAAGAAATACATTTTAAAGAGCAGTTGCAGGTAAGTAATATCTTTTTCAGGCTGTTGGTAAAATAAGGAGGCTGAAACAGTGACTTTCTAATTAAAAGCGATTGTGGCTTTGTGTGCGTACCCTAGATTTCTTTAACAGTTGGTGAAAAGCTTGGATAATGAGGACGCTTTTCAGAGATAACAATGGAGTAGATATAGGAGGAGTTTCATAGAATTTGTGGGCTGAAAATGTGCTTGTATTTTCTCTGGCAGTCTCGTAGCTAGCCTGAGATGAATTTGGAAGCAATTATTTCAACAAATACAAACCTGAGAGTTCTCCTTTCTTTTTTAGCCTGCGTTTAAATGGTTTTGAGAAGCATTTTGTTAAACATCGACAGTATACATAAGTGTAATGTGTAAGCTTTTGCTTAACAAGTCGTTATTTCTCAATAACTTCAAAAAAGCAATTTAAATAAATTCCGTCTTCAAAGAGAACATAATGTGCATGTAATACAAAGATGTTGACACTTTTACTTTTTTTAAGGAATAATTTATAAATAAATGAAACAACAGTTGGTCTTGTTTTGCTGCCTTCCAAGTAAAGGCAGTATTTACTTTATTTAAGGTTTCTCTTAGCATTTCCATAGAAATAGGAGTTGACAGTGAAACTCAAAAGTTTTATAATCTAAAAAGTTGGTAAGAATATAGCAATGAGGTCAGTTTGCAGTGACAGGTGATTTCTTTTCACTGAGCTCTTAGTGTCTGTATGTATTATAATTATTGTATTGTATTATAATTATTTTTTTCTCAAAATGCTGTTAATTATAGGTGGCCACAGTATCAGAAAAGTCTCGCATCATGGAACTAGAAAGAGATCTAGCATTGCGTGTGAAAGAAGTAGCTGAGCTTCGAGGGAGGTTAGAGTCTAGTAAGCCCATTGATGATGTGGACACTTCTCTGTCATTGTTACAAGAAATAAGTTCCTTACAAGAAAAAATGGCAGCAGTTAGTAAGGAACATCAGAATGAGATGAATTCACTGAAAGAGAAGTTTGGAATTAGTGAAGAAGCTCTGCAGAAGGAGATCAAATCACTTTCAGCTTCAAATGAGAGAATGGCAAAAGAAAATGAGTCCTTGAAATCCAAGCTTGATCATGCCAACAAGGAAAATTCAGATGTAATAGAGCTATGGAAATCAAAACTGGAGTCTGCAATTGCCTCCCATCAACAAGCAATGGAAGAACTAAAAGTTTCTTTCAGCAAAGGTGTGGGGGCTCAGACAGCAGAGTTTGCAGAGTTGAAGACTCAGATGGAGAAAATTAAGTTAGACTATGAAAGTGAAATGTCCAATTTAAAACTGAAGCAGGAAAATGAAAAATCTCATTATTTAAAAGAGATTGAAGCACTGAAAGCAAAGCTGTTGGCAGTTACAGAGGAGAAAGAGCAAAACCTGGAAAGCCTGAAGACCAAACTGGAAAGTGTGGAAGATCAACATCTAGTAGAAATGGAAGACGCTTTAAACAAATTACAGGAAGCTGAAATAAAGGTAAAGGAGCTAGAGGTACTGCAAGCCAAGTGCAATGAACAAACCAAGGTTATTGATAGTCTTACACCACAGATCAAAGCTGCTGAAGAAAAGCTTTTGGACCTTGCTGCACTTGAAAAAGCCAGTTCTGAAGGTAAATTGGAAATCCAGAAACTTAGCAAGCAGCTTGAGGCAGCTGAGAAACAGATAAAGAATTTAGAGACTGAAAAGGTTGATGGAAGTGGCAAGGTTTGTATCAACATCCATCTTTTAGTTTTACTTTGTTTTTATTTTACATTTGTACTGTTTTAATCTGCTATAGCAAACTCATCACAGAGGAAAAATATAGTTTTATTAGATATGTATCTTAGTACCATCTGAGGAGGTTTAGAGAAAGTGTTAAGTGGGTCAGACCTCTTTTAAAAGAAAAAAAAATTAGTATTCTTACACAGTCCTCAGTTCACACTGCTTGGCACAAAAAAAAATTTTTTTCTGTCCTCCTTTGCTGCAGGCTTATGTGTGCCTCTGCTGAAAGCTTTGTTATGAACAGTCATTCATTTGTGTATTGGAGAGGAAAATCCACACATCTTAATATACAAGTTTTTAACTTTTGGTGGTAAAAAATATGCAGATAATGTGACATAGGGATCAATGGGAAGACTTTTCCTCTGATTATACTGGGTTTCAGAGAAAGTCTGTTGTACTCCTGGTAGTCTATCTAGAGAAGTGAATACTGAGAGAATCAGTACCTTCACTGCATATCCTCTTAGCAAATAGGATGGTAAAAGAGGCAAGAGAATACTTTAAAGAAATGGAGATCCTGATGGAACGTTTCTTTAAGATGAGGGTATACAGTGGTGGTGTCAGACACCTTTTCACAGCTTTTTGAAGTGCTAACTGCAATGTAATGTATCTTACCATGCTTTTTCTTGTGTTTGGATGATATGTCTCTCTGAGTTGAATAGTATGGCATTCAGCACCCCAAAGTTATTCTGCTACTGCAGCTAGGAATAAAAGTGTTAAGACTTCAATTTTGGACCCTCTTCCCCCCCGCCCCCCGCCAAACAAACCTCTATGCATGACCTGACAAGATAGAGCTCTAATTGTAAAAGTTGTGGGAAAGTAACTGGAAGCAGCTTTCCTAAACTGTTCACAGATGGTGCCAAAATACTAGATTTCCATGGATGTTTGGCCCAATTTTTAGAACTCACATTGGGTTTCTGCACCACCCCTAGGTGTGGTACAGAGAAAAATTATATCCCTTGTGTGTGTATTGGTCGGAGTAGCCAGTTGAAGCATAAATGCTAAATGCATCAGTTAACAAAAGAAAGTCAATAAAGAACCATTAATACTAATTCAGTTGATGTCATAAGTACACTTGGAAATGTTTGAATATACTTCAAAATGTCTGCAATTAAATATTTCCACCATTATTCTAAGATAACTAAATTATTATTTCAAACATATCCCAGAAGAAATTACTACCGTGATGTAGTCATCAGTGGAGATCAACTTCATTCAATTAACACATCATGTTTTTTTCCTTCAGTTTTTGTTTTTTTATTTGTCATCTTACTGTGGTTTTAACATTGTAGTTATTTCCTTCAGATTCAACTTTTAATTTCCTTATTTTTTCATTCATGTTTGTAATTTTATTTTACTCCATTTAATCATCTTCGTTAGGCTAGTAGTCTGGCCAAAGAACTGCAGGGCAAAGAGCAAAAGCTTCTTGACCTTGAGAAAAACTTGAGTGCAGTTAATCAAGTTAAAGATTCTTTGGAAAAGGAGCTTCACGTCTTGGTGAGTAATACTCAAAAATTTTGACTTTATCCTTTGGAGTTTGGATTTCATGGCAAGAACGTAATTGAAATCTGAGGACCAATTCTGACTCTTCCTAATTGAACAAAGTCTTTCAAAGGTGCTTTTACTCAAGAAAGGAATGCAAGGTCTCATTGCTAATAGGATCTAATCTCAGAATGAGAAGAGCATTGCACTTAACTTCTGGGTTGTCAGATGTTTTGCCCAAATAGAACTCACCTGTTACAGATTTGAGATAAAGCATTAAGCCAGGTCAAAAGCAGCATGCAGCATAAAATTAGACTACTCGTTAAGGAACATGTGGCCATTTAGTATTATAGCTGTTGTATGAATTAAGGCTTGCTGTAGGTGTGAGTTGCAAATGGGTTTTGAAGACAGACTTTTTCACCTAATTTCTTCTTTTGCAAATTGAATTGTTTGTAATTGTAGTTGGGTGGGTTTCTCCTGTGAAACTACCCCAGTGTTAGAAACAAAGACATACTTCTTAGGTTTTAGTGTCCTTGTCCTAACATCTTTTCCATGGACATAGTAAATATTTGAAGTTGATTGAAGAATCTCACTTATCTTCTTCAATATCCTACCTTTTCTTCACAGTCTAGCACCTCTTTGTGCTGGTAAAGCCGGAAAACGCTTATATGAGATTGATCACAGGGCTGCAGATGTCCGCTACAGCCTTTGAGCAGCATGGATAGCTTCTTAAATTGAGAGGCCCAGAAACCATGTCTCCCACGTTAAACTGTGTGGCTGCAATTGTATTGCGATGCCAGCTGTTGAAGAAGTTTCTTTGAAAGTTCAGAGACGCGCTTCCAAACAAGAGGGGGGGGAAATTTTTAAAAGCTTACGTTATGTTGCTGAATATATCTGTGCTAAACTGTAATTCAAAACCTTCAAATCCATTTATGATAGAAGTGAAGATTGATCTATTTTGTACGTGAAGAATACTTAATATAAATTCAATGGTTGAATTATACTGTCGTTACCAAGCCTTACTTTAGATTTTTATCTCTTTTTTCAGAAAGAGAAGTTTGCTGAGGCAGCTGATGAAGCAGAAAATGTTCAAAAAACTATGCAAGGTATGTCTCCTGCTAAAGGAAACAGAAAACTAAAAAAGCACAGAAAACAAGTACTGCAAAACAAAGACTTTTTTCATGGGCTTTCAGATCTACACATGGCAAAACAACAGCATTTGTTTCAGCAGCTAGAAATAGGATAGGATTACCTGCAGCTTCTCTTTTAAGAGTAACATGCCTTGCCAAGGAGTGATTTGAATCTAAAATTCTAAACTAAATTCTAGACTAAATTTATCTTCAAAATTTTCCTTCCATAGAAACAATAAAAAAGCTAAGCCAAAAAGAAGAGCAGTTTGCATTCATGTCTTCAGAACTGGAACAGCTGAAGTCTAATTTGACAGGTAAGGAAGTCATAACATGGAATATTTTGAAATAAGCATCGGCTTTGTGCTTTCACATGGCCTCCTACTCAGCGCGCCATGTTGTAGTATGCAATGCTTTCACAAATGCGTATGTTTTATTTCAAAAGAAAGCCTTGTTTCTAGGCAGAAAGTAACTCTTGTAGCACGATGTACATTGACACAGCAAGGTGACCATGATGTTAGGGAAACAGTAAAGTAAGGCAGGATGTTTCCTGTCTTAAGTGTATTCCGAATAAATAGTTAAGTTCTTGCTTTTAACCCTGCAACAAAATCATGGTGTGGTAATGGCCCGATGCTAGACAAAGCCTTTCAAGTTTAAGACGGTTTAATTCACAGGAGCGTTGTCCATAAATAGTGTTTTATTTTGAAGGACATCTAAAAGATTCTAAATTAGTTTGGTTGTCAACTCCCTCTTGCCTCAGAGGAGGGGGGCTTGCTATATCATTCTAGTCACTGGTCAATTTAAGGCCAATTTGGAAAGAAATTAAGAATGATTATGCTCCCTGTAAGCAAGCTTCTCAGGGTATCATTAAGACTCAAGGAGTCATCCCAAGGGCTGCTTTAGTCCTTGGTGGCGGCGCCTGCGCTGGGTGTATATGGAGACAGTTTTCACTGTAGTTTCATTTTACTTACATTGTTTGTTTTCCACTACTGTGCTAAATAATCGGTCTGTTTTGCGTTCAAAACGCACACGCCTCTCACTGTATTGCTCGATTACTTGATGTTATTTGCTTGGTTGCTTTGACGTGGGTAGAACTCATGCCAGCTTCTTACGGCCTGCACCTAAAATTGAGTGAATCCTTTCTGAAAGAAAGGATTATTGACTAGTTGCTTTTCTAGTGTTTCCTGAAAGTTCTTCACCTTTCCTGCAGCTCACAGTGCAAAGTCCAAAACTCACTGTGATTTTTAATTTTAGAGATTGAATTTGCAAGGCTTCTAGTATCGAGATTATGCTCTTTATAGTCCTTTATGGTCATCTAGCTATTTTGTGCATGCCATTTCTCTTACATTTACTATACTACTAACCTTCGTCTTACTCAGTTATGGAGAAGAAATTGAAGGAGAGAGAAGAAAGAGAACAGCAACTGATTGAAGCTAAAGTCAAACTTGAAAATGATATTGCAGAGATCATGAAGTCTTCAGGAGACAGCTCTGCTCAACTTACAAAAATGAACGATGAGCTACGGTTAAAAGAAAGGTATTCCACCACTGTCAAAGCACTTTCACATTAATTCTTTACTCCTGTACTCCCCTCTTCTCATTTTATCCTTTTGTAAATAGCTGAACAAGATGCTCTGAGAGTTGCATTGATATGAAGTGAACTTCAATCACACTAAATTCATCAAAATAGTCTCCTCAAGGTGATTTGAAGAGAGACTTGCTTTTAGAATTCTAAAATTCTTATGTAGCTCATACTTTTTACTGTCCGGAGTAAATGAAAATTTTAATAATCTAGACTGCTTCATGATTATGCTTCCTAATTATTTGCTTAACCGCTAAGTTTGTTTAATTTGGATATGGAAAAAGTTTCCTTTGACTTGCAAGGAGAATATGTTTTGTTTCAAATAAAAACTCTGTAGAGGAGTTGTTCTTTAGCTTTACAAAACCCTAGACAGTAGGGACAAGGTGACTGTGGCAGCAGTGCTGCTCTGCAAATGCTTGGTCTCATTTGTGTATATTTAATTTAGCAGAACATTCTCTATTTGCTGAATAATTAAACTTCTTTCTTAATATTTTGACGGATTATAGTACTTGATCATAATATAAAGTCTTTCATCTTTGTATTCATTGTGCTATCAGCAAAAAGTAACGTTCTTAAACTTGATCTTTTTAGGCAGTTGGAGCAAATGCAACTTGAGCTTGCAAAAGCAAATGAAAAGGCTGTTGAGCTCAAGGAAAACATGGAGCAGACAACGCAGAGAGCTGAGCAGAGTCAGCAAGAAACTCTTAAGATTCATCAAGCAGAACTGAAGAAAATGCAGGATCAACTAATAGACCTGGTAAGAAGAACTTCAAAAAGGGCTAGCTAGCTACGTGAAGAATATCGTAGCACTACATCTCTAATTGTGTTCCAATTTTTTTTATGTTCTGTCAGAAAAAGCAAATTGAGACTAGCCAAAATCAGTATAAGGATCTTCAGGCAAAGTATGAAAAAGAAACTTCTGAGATGATCGCTAAACATGAGACAGATATCAAAGGACTTGAGCAGAACTTGCTGGATGCAGAAGAGACCCTGAAAATTGCACAAAAGAAGAATAAAGAGTTGGAAACACAGGCTGAGGAGCTGAAAAAGCAAGTGGAACAGGCCAAAGTATGTATACTTTGTTACTCTGTAAATGATTTGAAGTTTAATTCTTTGTTTCAGTGAATTGCTCTTTTTTGCCTGGCTTCATCCTTTTATAGTAAGTTTTTTGCAGTGTTTCTTTTATGAGCTTTTCCAGAGTAAATTAATAGTGGTTAGGCAAGTGAAACGTACACCACTAACTGGCTCTATCTTCTCTGCATTGCACTGAAGTATCCATGAAATATGGTTCTTTGACGTTAACACTTTATATTCGTAGATAGCTGATTCAGCACAATCAGTTGGAGCAATATTTCATTTTCTGTGTTTAAATACATGAATTTTAAATAAAGTATGCTATGAAATTTTAATTTAGAGGTGTTACACACCTGAAATCTTGCTCTGTAATATGATCCCATGTTATGTGCGACTATTTTGTATGTCGATTAACTTGAATATTTTTCTTTTTTTCCCCCCCATTTCTTTGACATTGTGGCTTGCTTTCATCCCTCATTAGTTATTTGCTGTAATTTTTTTTTTTAATGCTTTAGCAAAATCTTTAGTGTATAAATTGACACACAGGTTAATTTTAAATACATTTCTAATGCAGCGTTCTGAATTGAACGCTTTATGACAAAGTGTCTTAGGCAGAATTTTGGGGAGAATTAACTACACAAGGTGACTGTGAGAATTGGAAGTCAGTATCTTATGAACTCCCTGCTTTTTAATTCACTTAGATTCTGATGAAATCATTTGGTGCATCTTCTTTCTGAATAACTTTGAGAAGTTCATTGGCAGTAGTTTTAAAAACAAGCTTAAGTCTTGTATGGCGGAGCATTCAAGCTGTGATCGTTTTTTCATTTAAACTCTGAGAAGTTATCTTGCAGATCATTGGTGGCAATCAGCAGGTCAGATTGCACAGGGGTTGTGTGTCAGCCTATACGCTTTTTTTAAAACTTAAATTATAATAGCTCTATTTGCCCTTAATTCACATTTCTCATTTGTCTGCTTGACTTCATTTTTGTTTTCCCTTCTCCCCAACTTTATTTCTTTAGTCTTTAACCTCTGTGTTAGCATCAGCCAGAAAAGAGATTGAACTAATGTCAGACGAGATGAGGGGTTTGATATCAGAAAGAGAGACTCTGGCACAGGAGGGGAATACTTTAAAATTAGAGAAAGATTCATTGTTATCAAAACTTTTAGAACTGGAATCCAAGTTTATGTTTTTGCAACAAGACCAAGAAAAGCTTTGGACAATAAATGAAGAACTTAATTCAGAAAATAAAAAAATCCTAAAGGAAAAGGAAGAAGCTGAGGTGAAAAGCCGGCAGAAAAGCACAGAAAAGATGACGCTAATTTCTGAGAAAGGCAAATTACTCTCTGAAATAGAGGCAGCACAGGAAGATCTTCTGAAGATAACTCAAGAAAATGAGGCTCTCCGGTCTGTGGAGTCAACCTTGCTCCAACAGCTGAAAGAACTTCAGGCCAGTAAAGATGCCATGGATATGGCATGTCAGAAGCACCTCAGGGAACAGAAGGAACTAGAGGATTATCAGAAGAAACTTTTAGACGAGAACGATGCGCTTGTTAAAGACAAGGACAGTGTCGTTCAGAAGCTGAAAAGTTCTTACGAGGACCTGGCCAGAGATCAGAGAGAGCTGCTGCAAGAAGTGTCGGCTCTGACTAGAGAGAGAGATTCAGCCCTAGGTAAATATTTGGATCTCGAAAGTACACATACAGCCTTAAAAAATGAAACAGATCGTCTGTTGCAGACAAGCCAGAGTCTGCAATCTGAGAAGGAAGAGCTCCTTAAAGGCATAGAAGAGCTGCGGGTGAGCTTAGCCACTGCTGTTAGCGAAAATCAGGCTTTAAACGTGACAACAGAAGAGCTGCAAGCAGAATTAGAGGCTGAACATAAAGAACTTAAAAAGGTGATAAAAGACAATATGGAGTTGAAGGCTTCCCTTGATAGTCTCTCTCAGCTTCTTGAGGAAATTAAGGCCTCAAGGGAGCTCTCTGACTCTGAATGCATTCAGTTACTTCAAGAGAAGGAGGCTCTTTCTTCATCAGGACGAAGGCTTTTGGCTGAAAGGGAGGAACTTTTAAATGAAAACAAGGCAATTGCTGAAAAGCTTGCAAAGGCCACAGCAGATGCTGCACTTGCTGAGAGAGTCCTTACTGAGAAAATCGGTGAACTGAGCTTAGAAAAGGAATCTGTTTTTCGTAAGTCATTGCAGTTTGAAAAGCAGAACGAAGCTCTTTTCCAAGAGAAGAATGAATTGGAGAGCAAATACTTGGCGCTTCTTGATGAAAGTAAGTCTTCTGCAAATGCCATTTCTGATATGAAGAGAAAACACGAGCTGGACCTCTCAGCCAAGAGAGTTCTGGTCCAAGAGAATACCACACTCCAAGACTCCATTGAAGCCCTCAAGGAAGAATTAGGCAAGAAGACTCTGGAAAATCAAGAGCTAATAGCCTGTAAATGTGACCTTTCACATCTCCTGAAAGAGACTCAGGATGCCAAAAGAACCTTAGAAAATGAACTATCTGCCATATCACATGCCAAGCAGGTCCTGTCATCTTCATTCAAGACCTGTTCCTCTGATAGGGAGGTGCTGAGTAGAGAGAGGACTGAACTGCAAGATAAGTGTCAGAAATTAAGTGGAGAGGTTGAGATTATGAAAGAAAACTTAACCATAGAAAAGGAAGCTAGAAAGCTGGACAAGGAATCCTTTTTGTTGGAGCGTACGGAACTTCAAAACAGCATCAGCTTCTTGGAGAAGGAAACAGAAGGGCTGAGAGAGAAAAATAAAGAATTGCTGACCGAGAAAGAACTTTTGATCCAGCAGAAAGAAAAATCCGAATCTAAACTGGAGGAAATAATTAAAGAAAAGGAAATTCTCAGTGCAGAGACGAAACAACTTGCTTCCAATATTGAACAGCTGAAGAGTGACTTTGCTGCTTTGTCTAAATCAAAAGCAGAGCTCCAGGACTTGCACAGCTGTCTCTCCAAGATCCTAGAAGATCTCAGAGACAGCCACGAGGTGACAGAGAAGGAGAGGATAAAGTTGCTGCAGGAAAATGAGAGCCTGCTTGCTGAACAGAAGTGTCTGGTCATCATTAAGGATGAAATACTAAAAGAGAAGGAGAAATTCTCCAAGGACTATTATAAACTGCATCAGGAAGTAGCACTTTTAGCACAAACTAATAGTGACCTCTCAGGCAAACTGCTGGTCTTTCAGGACAAAAATCAGATGCTGTTGGAGGAGGTGAACAGTATGGCTTTGAAATTAAAAGAAACTGAGACTCTGCAGGCCCAAAGAGTAACGCAAAAATTTGAGGTATTGAAACACGTTGTTAAACAATCAAGTATAGTTATACTAACCCTGAGCACTAACTCAATGGTTTCCTGTCTTCACTTCATTGCACAATCAGCACTTCATCTGAGTGTAAACAGACCGGAATTATCTTCCGTCTCAGTGTATTACCTAGTTTATTTCAAATTGTAACTGAGTCTGAAAGATCCTTTAACAGCTATAATATTTTTTAAAATCATGTGGAAATATGAGCCTATGTGGTCGCTGAATGTGGCAAGAAAACAAAGTAAGCTGTGAATAAAAGGAAGTTTTTCTGACTCTCCTAGGAGAAACTGAGCCGCAGCTTTTGTTGAAGTACTTTGCAGTCTAATAGCTAGCGTAGGAATAAACACGGTTTTAGGTTAGATCTTTGTGCAATTTTATGTTAAATTGAAAGAGCAAATACTATAAATCTGAGCTAAATTTGAGCTACTCAAAAAATATAAAACAATGTATTGCCCCTGTAAATGTAATTGGATAAAAAGTGTTGCAAGAGAACCATTTAAAGTTACCTTATCGGACTTTCAAACTGTTAAAGGCAATGGCATGTCTGGTGTTCTTTTTATTCACAGAAGTGTTTTGTATTCACCACCAACAAATTCTGAATAGAATTTTGGATTGCAGTTTGCATGGCTTTTGAAACCCATGAAACCACTTTCAATATAAATTGGATTTTAGATACTCTATAGAAATGTATTATGCCTACCTTAGATATTTTAATATACTGAAAGTATTTTGTTTCATGAGGGTAAATCATAATGAAAAGCACTGCAATAATGTGATATTTGGCTTTACCTCCTACTTAAATTTATTTTCAAATAATTTTTAGCAGCTGTTTATAATTCCATATTTTCTGAAAGTACAGAGCAGTCTGTTGGAAGTGAATATCTTTTGAACTACTACTATAGTAAAATGTTTGGAAATCTAAGAATAATCACAGTGGTTGTAATTAAAAGTCCAGAACCTGAAAAAGAAGAAATGAACTTTCTCAGTGGTGACACGAGCATGGGGTAATGGTTGAATTTTTGCATGGAATTAGACCTTCTCGTGTCCATTTATTTTATACTTTATGCAGCTTCAGAATGTAAATTTTCTCAATTCCATTTATGAAAATAAAGTTCTTGTTTAAATGGAAAACAGATGGCAAACAGTGGAGCTGTGCATAAAGTGTTGTCGATAGTCTTTTGCTTTTGGAGGACCTGTTGGTTATACTTCTTTTTTCCCTTACGTTTAGGCTGCTAAAATGGCAGAAGATGCTTTTCAGATTGTGGAGCAAGTGACCAAAGAGAAGGATGCCCTTCACAAAGAAAAGATTGAAACTTTGGCCTCTTTGGAGAACTCTAGACAGACAAATGAGAAGCTGCAGAGTGAAGTAATCTCATTTAAATGCTTTTATATGATAAGTTTTACCTACCTTATAAGCAACTTTGATCTTGCAGTATCTCTGTAGTTTACGTGAAATCTGTGTTATAGGCTTTCGTTACTTTCTGGTGTAAAGCAATGCAACAAAGTTCTTAAGATACATAGCAAGAAATAGCACGGTAACAGCTCATTAGTTGAAGCAAATCTTGGCAAATTTGGCAAGATGAGTCTAGGTTATACACTGAAATAGGTAAGGGCATGACAATTTGTCAGGCACTACGTGATCTTCTCTATGTCTTTATTCCTTTGGAATTTAGCCACATATTAAGTTATACTTTAACTTTTATCCGAATCAAATTGAAATTGTACATGAGATGATATACTTTATACAGCCATATGAACAGTGTGCTTTTGTAGTTTGCATGTGGTTTCAAGTATTCCACAGCATATAAGGTCATGCCCCTTTAAATCCTGATGCAGCAACCTTAGAAAGTATCTTGGATGTAATAGGAGTTCCTGGACGTTCCAGTAGTAGCTTGTGCAGATCTCAGATTTAGGAGCCATGGATTCAGCTTCTGTCTTCTTCATAAGTTTTTTGTATGGCTTTGGGTAGGTGGCTAATGTGTAACCACTCTGTGCTTCATTCCCTGGTTGTAAGAATGGGGTGCAACTTATACTCCAATAACAAGTGCTGCAGAGTTCCTCTGAGCACTACACAAATGCATACATGGGTATGACTGTCCCAAAGAACCTTACAGTCCAAGTACAGCAGTTCCCCTAGGGGTGGTTCTGACTCAGGGACCCATTCTTCATCCCTACACTTCCCACCACTTCGTGATACTTCAGGGTTTGGGGGGAAAAATGTCCTCACTGGTTTCTTTCCCACTCTTTGGCCTGAGTATGTGGTCTAACATTGGACTGGTAGCTTTTCTGCAGATCCTAAGCACTCTGTGGCCTCTTTTTGATGGCTCTTTAATCTTTTGCAGCCCCTGTAGTAATGGGTAGTGAACAGCTGGGCTAACATAAACGCCCCAGCTTGTGCTGAAACACTAGTGATTTCCAAGGAGAGCTGATGGCTTGAGAATTAAAAGTGATGACGTTAATAATAGCGGCAGTTCACTTCCTGGATTGTTTAAAAAAATCAAACAAACAAACAAAAATAAAAAGTCCTGTAATGCCATGAGAGTGGCTGAAGATTATCTGTTATGTAATACAATGTGTCACTGAATGTGAGCAAATGAGATTCACAAGCTCACAGTATTTACATGTTAGATACAAGCACAGTAAATGGAAGATACGCAACAATTTGTCCCATGCTACAAGATTTCCCCAAGGAGTGGATTTCCTATCATTGCAAGCACAACATTCAGGCCATGTTTCTCAGAAGCTAAGGTATAGTAAAGCAGAGCTTTTCATCGGTTACTTTAGAAGAGTAAAGATCGGGAGAATAGCTGGTCTCTGATCTTAGCAAGAAATGTTAAATTACTTAAAAAAAAAAAAAAAAAAAAAAAAAAAAGCATTGAGTTGCATAGCATTTAAAATTGAGGTGCTTTGATTACCCATTATTTCAGTGTCAATACATTACACTACTGTAAGCAGGTCTTAAAAGGACTTTTAATTCTTAGTACTGCTAGACATTAAAACAGAAAGGCTTATTACATTCTTTTGTAACCTTTTTGACTTTATTATGATTAGTTCCCAAAGTGATTTTTGTGACAGTTTTTACCACGCTTCTTGTTAGATGAATGCTTCTCATTACAAACGACTGATTTATTTTACGGGACACAGATGAAAAAGTTCAACAGCGCAATTCAGGTCTCCATTTTTTTTGAATACCTTTTCCAAGTGCTACGCCTGAGAATTATATGGATTCATTACTGTAACAACTTCTTTTCTTCCCTCTTTTAAGTTGGACACGCTTAAACAAAACAACTTGAAAAATGAAGAGGAGCTTAATAAATCAAAAGAACTTCTAAATTTAGAGAACAAGAAAATGGAAGAATTTAGAAAAGAATTGTAAGTATTTCGATGTTTAACCTTTTAAACCCTTGCCTTGTAGTTATGTTTACCTTTCAGTTTTTCAGTACATCTCCAGTGTCCTTGTAAACAAATACTAGGTCAAAATTAAGTACCAGTTTGACATACATAAAATTTGAAATCAGAACATTGCTCCTGAATTGCTGGAGGTTATTGAAGCAAGTGCTTCACTTCAGTGATCATTATTTGAAATAATGTATTGTTTGTTGGAAGTAGTATATAGTTCTGCCACCTGAGGGCACCAGGTTATTTTAAAAGCTTTGTAATAACGGAATCCTGTTTGGATTTAATTACAAGTGCACTTGCTGTTAAGTGATTTTTTTTTTTACATAAAATATGGTTATACTTTTATTTTTCATTGATTGCTTATCCAGTTTTTTTCAACTGCCATGCTGTGCATATATCTTCTAACTGGTACTGAACAAACTCTGTATATAGCATATAAAACTACAGTTAATTTTGTATCAGTAAAGCCATGTCTATCTCAAGACGATGTGTCCTTTTCAAAAGTGTTAACGTTGCAAAATATCACTAAAGGTCTACTAAAATCTGAAATATATTTTGCAAACATTATGTGACCTTG